TATTTTATGAAAATAAAATACCCAGGCAGGTGCTTTGTTTGGTGCTGGTGGGGCTGCTGGTAAGCCCCCACCCCACCTGTTAGTAGCATGCCCCAATTTTAGCAGTAGACCCCAACTCCTTCTCAGAGTGAGCAGCAATTAAGATCATCTGCATACATAACATGGCTGACCAATAGGGAGGAATCCCTTGGCAGCACCAGGGCATCGATCATCCTCCTATTGTATCTGTACCAGGTGTAAATTACACTGGTATAGCCATAAAACACTTATTGGACTGCGTGATTAAATTATGTTAAATAATGTAGGAGCCAGACGACATCCCTGTCGCACCCCAAAGTAAACAGAATGCTTCTGACTCCTGGCCACGCAACTTTAGGGGCCGTCCATAAATTACGTCACGCGATTTTGGACGATTTTTGACCCCCCCCCCCCTATTCATCACACGGCGTCACAAAAAGTCAGACCCCCCCTCAAATATCATGTCACAAAGCTCTGCCTCCCCCCCCCAAAAAAATAAAACATGCTTCAAATCGCTTTAAACTATTGTCATTGTAGTGCGTATTTAATGTGGCGCTGCACTCTTATGTTGTGGGAGAAAACATTTTTTATTTAAGTAGAACGTGTTGTCTATATTTATTTAAAGTTGCGCATTTTGATGTGACGTCACATTTCTCAACCCCCCCCCCCTCTCGTCACACATCGTCACTAATGTCTGACCCCAACCCCCCCCCCCCCCCCCCAGGTGCGTGACGTCATTTATGGACGGCCCCTTACCCAGGCCTTCCCATCATCATGAAGGTACTTAATGATTGTGCGCAGAGTCAGGGACCCCGAAAGCATGAACAATAACCCCGAGCCCTGTGCCTATTGATGGACTCATAGGCATTGATCAGGTAAACAAAGGAAAAATGCAGATCCTACATCATTCACATGTACGCACCAAGATCCCTCGTATAGTCTGAACAGACCGATGCGGCGTGTGGTGTGAGTGAACACCTATCAAGGCCAAAATAGCACGATGAGGACGTTTGTGGTTGATGAGCGAGTGGTAGAGTCAGAGAGTTAAAGAGGGTGGATCGTCCCCTCTTCTTGCTGATACTGAGCTCCCCCCCCTCTTCATTGACGAGGCCTCCAACGACGCCAATGTCCACTGTGCATGTCCCCCTTCATCAACACGATTGGACACGTCTAATTTAGTTTCCTTCATCCTCTTGCGGGCTTTCTTATGTGATCGCACTTCACGGACACTGGATGGCGGTTTCGACTTGAGGTGATGAGTAGTAAATCGCTGTATAGTTTAAAAAAATAATTTGTCAACGACGTAAACAATACTGCAGTGGCAGTCAGACTGAAGGCCTGCACGTGTAGTGGTCGACTTCACGCGGACAACTTCATTCTTTTCTCCGACACCACTTTTATTACAACTTTCCACATTACGTCTATAACTTCACAGTTCATCTGTTTGCCGCAGCTCGCTCTTCTTCCTCCCCTGTCTCTCCCCGTCTCTCTCCGTCTCTCCCCGTCTCTCTCCATCTCTGTCCCTCTCTTCCCGTCTCTGTCCCTCTCTCCGTCTCTGTCCCTCTCTCCGTCTCTCCCCGTCTCTCGCCGTCTTCTTCCCCGTCACTCGCTGTCTCCGTCACTCGCTGTCTCCGTCACTCGCTGTCTCCGTCACTCGCTGTCTCCGTCACTCGCTGTCTCTGTCTCTCGGAGACTGTCTGTCTCTCTCTCCGTCACTCGCCGTCCCTGTCTCTCTCTCCGTCACTCGCTGTCCCTGTCTCTCCGTCACTCGCTGTCCCTGTCTCTCTGTCCCTGTCTCTCTCCGTCTCTCACTGTCCCTGTCTCTCTGTCTCTGTCACTCGCTGTCCCTGTCTCTCCCCGTCACTCGCTGTCTCTGTCTCTCTCCGCCACTCGCTGTCTCCGTCACTCGCTGTCTCTGTCTCTCTCCGTCACTCGCTGTCTCTGTCTCTCTCCGTCACTCGCTGTCTCTGTCTCTCTCCGTCACTCGCTGTCTCTGTCTCTCTCCGTCACTCGCTGTCTCCGTCACTCGCTGTCTCTGTCTCTCTCCGTCACTCGCTGTCTGTCTCTCTGTCTCTGTCACTCGCTGTCTCTCTGTCTCTGTCACTCGCTGTCTCTGTCTCTCTCCGTCACTCGCCGTCTCTGTCTCTCGCCCTGTCTCTCTCCCTACCCTCTTCGTATCTATGTCTCTCTCTGTCTCTGCTTCTCTCTATCACTCTCAGTCGCTCCTTGTCTCTGCTCCACTGCTAGCTGTTCTGTCTCCTATGTCTCCTCCCCGTTATCTCCCACACCTGCGTCGTTCCAGTCCCAACCACAACTCCCCTCTGTCTTCCCGTGTCTCTCGAATATATCCCGAATATATCCCCGTTCTCATTACCCACCAATTAATTCGTCCGCGTGCCACCGACGCCCCGCGTCCCCCCGCACCTGTTACTTGCCCCCCTCTATTCCCAGACATTCCGGCGCCACCTCGCCCTTGACAACAACCCCAGCCAATCACAGCCGTACATCGCTCCCTGGCTTAATTGGCCCATCATTACCGCACAGTTTCCCACCGCCACACCTGGCCGGCCCGACATAACCCCACTGGCCATAACTCACGCGTCTTTACCATTTCCCCCTGTATGCGCGTGTTAATCCACTACACACGCACACTTTTGATTTAGCGTCGCCCCGCCGTTTCGCCCCCGGTAGGAGGCGACGTTGAATCACTTTCCATGCATACGCAATGAAGGACTCAAAAGGCGGCAACTTCTTGGATGAAGTTTATTGTTCACTCGCTTTACTACCCGGCTTCGCCCGGGACTTGGATTCACCACGCCCGACCGCCTTTGTCTCCCCAGTGAGCGATGTTCACACACCACACCAGTTACGCGTTTGAGGCTGAGTCGACCTAGGGGAGGCCCAGGACCGGTTCAAATAATCGTCACCGGTGGTGGCCGTGAGCAGGAATCAAACTCGGATCGCCGGGTTCGTAGCGCAGCGCGCTAACCACTACGCTACCGCTCCCCACACACACACGCGCACGCGCGTCCATAGGTACACATACACGCGCTTGCTGCAGACCCATACAACTTTCAGGGTGTGTACGGCAGTAAACGACTGAAATAATAAAGCAATGCTGCGCGAAGAACTCCTTAGACCTGCAACACATTTGTACGGCACTTTACTCGCGGAGGGTTGGGGGGGGATGCGTGACATCAGCAGGCACACAGTGTAACGCTTCCGCATGCGGGTGACATCACAGATGTGACGTCACAGCTCACTTGCCGCGCAAAATATATCCATTATTGCACCCCCCCCCACCCCAGAAAATTTACAAAAGTCTATTTTTATACTTTTTGCATGGTGTACATTCTGGAAACTACCCACATGCCAAATTTAAAGTTTGTTGCATGTCGGGAAGTATGCTAAACATTTCGAACAGACACACATTCACAAATTTCCCTTTTATATATATAGATTGATAACGGAGGTTTTTGGGTTAGATCGCGTAAATATAAATGTGTCTGTTAAACCCGCCACCACCTGACACAGCCAAACTAGGAAGGGTTGTGACGGAAACAAAACGTGCCAATTCGCTATTAGTACAGCAACATTTACAATTTAAGTACGACGTTTCGCCAGTAATTACAACTGGCATCATCAGGCGACAGCCAAATTTGTGGAGAGATCATCCTGTTTCAGTCTTAAATAGAGGGATAAATGTGATATTTGTTTACGTGGCAAACCTTACTCATTGGCTGTATCGGGTGGTGGCAGGTTTACCGACACATTATATTTATGCGATCTAACCCAAAAACCTCTATTGTGGATAAAATTGGTCGTGAAAGCCTACATGTTAAACAAAGTTTATTGTCCTGAACAACAATGTCCAGTGCCCACCACCAGCCAACACCACTCTGATGAGCGTCCCCTTCTCCTCCCCCTCCCACTTCCCTTGTATCATCTTCACTTCTCCAATCTCTGCCCATGCCTTCCTTCTAACCAATCCCTCTGCTCCCCTTCTAACAGTCCCCAACGGGTCCCTTGCCTCTTTCAAATATTCCCACCTTCTTCTTTCAAACCTTCAAACCAATCACCATCTAGTAAGCCACATTCTCGCTATCCTTTTGCAGTAGCATCCCCCCTCGTGCAGGTTATTATGGTTTTTATGATATCCATGTCACCCCCATGTCCTTCAAAGACGCTATCCAAGGATGTCTAACATCCTTACACGTACACGGGTAAGTTGTTCATCGCGATGTTTTAGTGAAACAACGTTTAAACGGGCCAACGTTAAGTGAGCAGTGACTGTAGACCATTTGAGATGTGTGTTTTTTGGGGTATATGTGAACTTGTACATGAATAAATAATATCTGATTACTGTGTTTTTACTTTGAGATGCTGCTATGATTACTGTATGTGGTGTAAAGGTTAGCAGCCTGCGCTTGCGACGCCGAGGTGGTCAACTCGATCTCCCGGTGGTCAACTCGATCTCCTAGTGTGACAGTTGAAATAAAATACAGGTTCCATAATTGCCCCCCACCCAGTAGATGAATGAGTACATCACAGTCGATCGGCAGGTCGCGCGTGATGGGGTAAAGTGGGGGATGTCTCTTCCAAGATGTCTGGCCAGTGTGGAAGAGTAGGCCAAAATTCCCTCTAGAGAGGCTCTCTAAAGTCCTAACCAGTGAAGGCCCTTCTGCCAGCAGTGGCGTGAGCAAGCAATTTCAGGGCTGCACATGGACTTTTTTGTGCATTTAATTCTATTCTGAAAAATGTATTTGCATGCATTCATAAATTGTTCCTGAAATTAGTGACTTTGTATTGTGGTTTACCCAATTTGGCCATCATTATTTGTTTATAATCTGTGTGCGCCATTGATTATATTATCACTGCAGGGGTGACAAAGCTGCTACTCTCAGAAATCACAATGTGTTATTTGAATGCACGGCGATTCGCATCATTGCACGTTCAATTGTTACACTCAGTCAAAATACCGATTGCTTTCTTTTAAACATTTTATTGAAACGATTTCAGCTGCAGACACAGGGAGAGAGCACATCTATGAGAATCCACACCTGAGTGTGCAGTCATCTACGATCATTGATCGCCAAATTTGAGAAAAATGAAAGTGATGGTTAGAAGTGACTCGATCGATGGTGTAAGCTTCGTTTCGTTTTTCTTTTGTGAAAAAGCCACAGGCACCGATGACATCAAGTGCCGAACTTTACTTCTCCGTGTGTTTTTCTGACACGACTTTCTCGTTCTCCGTCTCGATGGTCTTGATGAGCACCTTCTTGCTTGACGAAAATCCGCCGCCCTTGCCCCCTGAGATCATACTGGACGACCCCAGCTTGCAATGGCTACCTGTGTGCATCACGAAAAGACAAGCGATGATTGCCCTGCATAGTGATACAAATAAAAGTGCCAGGAAAGCCTCGCCGAGTCTCGAGACTTGTTTTCAGAAAGGTCCTGCATTTTTTAGATCATTGGTCAATTTCATTGGTAAGTGTTTCATGTGTCAGAGGAAGCCAGGCTGCACGTAGAATAATATTGCATACGTGGAGATAACAATCAAAGCTACGCACAAATGGATGTAATCTACTGGCTGTACTAATATCGTCTAACCGCCTTGCAGCCCAGTTGGTTTGGGAATTTCACAAATTACTGTGATCCACCAATCCTCTCCTCCAAAGTTGCTAGATTACATGCATGGATCACCACGCCCAGATATACAAGCTATTTGGGCCAATGCTGCGAGAGAGCATTTATGAAGGGGCATGAGGGGGTGGTGTCGCCAGCACTTTGCCGTCTTTGTCTCCCCATTGCTGATACTTATAGGCTACACTAGATGTTTAAGGCTGAATCTTGGGAGTAGCGAGACAGGTTCTGACCACTCACCACTCCTGTCACCTGTGACCAGCAAAGTGCGAGGCCCATTGCTTCACCCCTCCGCATACGTGTGCATCACATGCACTATCCACTATTATCAAATAAACATCGGGGAAAGTGGGTTCACGAGCGGCTATTAAAGAACATCGCATTTCAATGACCTGCCAGTTATCTACAGAAAATGTACAGGCCACGTAACGAACCCATTCGGAAAAAGGCACGCCGTGATAGAGTAAAATATTAATGCTATTTCAAAATAAAATTATTAAAAGTAACATATTACATAAAATATATAAAATAAATTACGTTTTGATTAAATGTAATTTTAAATTCTTATTTTAATTAAAGTTTGTACAACAGCTTAGGGCTGAATGTTTCTTTAGAGGCATAAAAATATAAAATTATTCCACTTCTGTGTGAGGTTTCTCCATTGCTGTGTCGGTCAAGGGAGTTGATACTTCACCACACCAGTCAATGCGTGGTTGTGAAGGGGGGGAGCCCAGGCTCGGTTGAGATCTCATTCGCCACTGATGTTAGCCGTAGCCGTGACTCGAACTCAGCTTGCCAGGTTTGTGCACCACAATGCCCAAACCACTGCACCACCGCTCCCCCAACAATTATATACTAAGTGTGAATAAGAGTGTATGAAGGACATGCTGAGCCTTTTACTTGCATACATGCTACACAACACATACATAAAATATACTTGCATAAACAGGAACAAGCTAATCGCTCTCCATAACAATAAACTATCCTTTCAGTCCGTCGACTCATTGGCCTTCTAGACAATTTTTTTACAAAGTATATGACTATCACATAATACGTGTGTCTAGATTAATCTATTAGGCAGCTCTTGTCCCGTGAGCCTCTTACACATATAGAGTTCTCAGTGTCAAACCAGCTGCGTTGAGATTTAATGGAGCTAAAAGGTTTGGCCACCGATATCTTACTTTACCCATCTCTCTCTCTGCACTCCATGCATTGTTGCTGACACTTAAATAGGCTAAATCTATACATTTGACTAAATTCCCACGTCATTCTCCACGAGGAACCAATCTCCCACCTCTGCACTGTGCCTATGCTCCATCGCGAGAGAACACAGCCAAGAGGAAATATTTTAATTAAACGGACGTTTGCCTGGAATTGCAACTCGACGACCTGTGCTGCAATGGAAGCCAGCTTTGCGAATACAATTGTTGACAAAGTCATGGCCTATGACTTTCACCGGTTCACTCGGAATGCACCCGATCTCGTAAGATCTCGAAAAGCGAAGCGCAGCCGGATTCCGCATCAGTACTTGGATGAGCGACGACTGAGCACGCGGTGGTGACGTAGCGGTCTACTGAACAACGCGTTGGCAACTGAGGGCGGTGCTGCTAAAGCCACTGTTTGACCCGACCCTATTCTCTCACGTCTTGGCTCCCCCAACCCGAGGCAACCCGCACACGTCACGGTACACACATCAAGGAAAACATTGCATGTGCCCCACAAACACACACTCCTGAACTTTGCACGTAAGCCAGGGTGTAATGGTTCGCAGCACACGGGGCACGCAATGCAGCAGAGGTCGCCAGTTGGATCTTCCAGCGCGGCAGTTTGAACAATGAGGTTTCTGAAATCTCTCCCACCTCTGTCCATCGAGCAGTAAACATGGAAGCAACCGTGGTTAAGTCTATCGACAGGTCGCATGCGGTGGGGTAAAGTGTGAGAATTTCCACTTCTTCCAAGATATCAAGCCAGTGTGGAAGAGTAGACCGAATACTCTCTAGAGTGGGTATCTAGAGCTCCCTACAGTGGAGCTCCCACACCGCCAGCAGTGGCGTGAGTGAACAAGTGTGGGGAAGTGCCTTTACCACCTTTACTCACACATTGTATCAGCATGATATGACCTTCCACGCGGGCGGAAAACGATTTGATGGTAACATTTTGTTTAACGAGGGGGCTGCAATTCCCTTATGCAGTAAGACTTGTGGGGTGGCGGCGGGGATGGGGAAAGGGTGTTACCAGAGCTGCTGCCAAAGCCTCCGCTGCTGTAGTATTTGATGGAGACGTTGGATGAAGTCGGCACGAGCCCGTCCATGGTGTCGGTGAGACTGAGGGGTGGGATGGGGGAGAAGAATAGGGAAAAGCAAGTCACATGCAGGACTGGGCTTGGTGCCAGGCGAGAGGGGAGCCGAGTGCATCTTTGCATCTTCAAGCAAATCATCGTCTTTAGAGGGGTGTCCTGGAAAACGTTGATAACACACAAAATGACATTGTGCTTTGGTCTGATGAGCTCGGTTCGTAGGATTAGAACGAGTGATTTGTTGGCCAGTGCAATTCCTTCCCTTTAGTGTACCCCTTACCCACCACTACTAAAGTATCCAACGTTTTCACTTTGTATACATTTTACACATTTAAGGATGGATTTATACAACTTGATAGATCACCATAGGAATTTGCTTAATTGGCACATTCATTTGCTTAATTGGCACAATCGCCTGAACAACACACAAAGCGTACCTGGACTTATTCCCCACTAACCAATTCAAATCCACGCGCGGGTCGGTCCGTGTCAAGAGACCTCAACGGTATTCCTGCACCCAGCTGTCTAACTGCAACCTACCAGCAACCAGCAAAAAAAATCTCTGGCCGTACCTGACGTCACCACCCTCCAACAGCTGTTTGTACGTAGCGATCTCCACGTCGAGCTGCGTCTTCACGTCCAGCAGCTCCTGGAAGGCCACCAGCTGGCGCTGCAGCTCGATGCGCGATCGCTCCAGGGTGCTGCTTACGTCCGAGATTGACCCCTGTGCATTGGAGATCTCGAAGCGGAAGCGACCGTCGACTTCCATAAACGTCTGCTGCAGCTGGTTGTGCTGCAAAAGAAACAATCGTGAGGACACCATCATCAGACAATGGCTATCCACTGCTGGATGAATTCCTCCCCACACTATCTAGCAGTGTCGTCATGCAACAATACATCTAGCTTCCTGCACATGGGCAGATTTCATTGCTCCATTTCCCTTGGGGACACATTCCCAGGCATGTTCACTGCTTTGACTGCCACTCATGTACTCAGTCTTCACCACCAGTCATGATGCCTTTCTCGGGAAATGTGCTACCCAATAGTACTCACTTTTCTTCAGTATCAATGTCTTCTAATGACTGAAATTGGATAGTGGTGGGAAGGGTGTCCCATTTCATTCCTCACACCCATGATGGGCACGTGGCTACTATATTACACCCGCAAAAAAAGCAAAGCATGAGTGTAACTTTTCATGACGGTCAATATCATCAGTGTAGACGTGATAGCAGTGTGGTGAGGCTCTACCTTGGACATCAGCCCCTGCAGCTCCATCTGCATCTCCTGCATGCTCTTGGTCACCACGGACACCTCGCTGTGTGTCGACTCCACGGCAGAGCTCTTCTCCACTTGCTCCGCTTCGATCTGGCTCACCTGTGTTGTGAACCGAGGGGACGTTCGCCCGGATTAATTTCTCACCAAACATTTTCCGGGTGACCCGCGCGTTGGTAGGAGCCAAAGCGAGAGATGTGCACTCGATGTGGTGTGCCGAGTGTGGAAGTAATTTCTCGGTCGCTGACCCGGTGATCAAATTAAGCCATGGTGACTCGGCATATAGGGATGCGCAGCATGTGTAGTCGGTCCTACGATGCAAATCACATGAATGCGCTCGATCTCATCGGCAAATGGTGCATAGTCGGTTTGTAACCTGGTCAGTACTCTATTGGGACTGTAAGGGTGTATATAAAAAGTCAGTTCCTTTTGTTTAGTGGTAAATGCTGCGGACCCTCTAGCGGCTTGAGGGATTACGTGAACCCCTTTTACATACAACGTATACGAATCACGGGACTTTGATGCACGAACCGTTTAGCATAGGACTGCCTGGGAATATCACAATACCAGGCCATTGATATTCCCATGCAGGCTTATAAGCCAGTCTCCTTAGGGTATAAGGATGCGTAGAATCTTCGCACGCTAAACGATACGTTCATCTATTCGCGTAGGCTGCACACCAGCGTGGGTGTTCACTTGCTCGCAACCGGCCCGCGCAGTTCGTGCGCTTACGTTTCCACCCGTGCGTATTTCCTATGTGCTGTAGAAATCACCCAACCAAACGGAGGCTCCCTTGATGGACCAGATTTCCAGCTTGTGCACGTGTAATTCTGTAAGTGTCGGGAGGGGTGCCGTGCCTGGCTGCGGAAGTAGTTCTCAGCCTCCTCGCGGTTGCGCGCTGCAATGCTCTCGTAGTCATCCCGCATCTGCGCCAGCATCCCGGCCAGGTCGATGGAGCGTGCGTCATCCACCTCGATCGTGGCCGAGGAGTCCACCTTGTCGGGCTTTGCACCCAGACGTGACAGCTCCTGTGGGCAAACAGCATGGTGAGCGCACGGCCACGTGTACGTACGTGCACCACAAAGACAAACATCCCCCGTATAGCCTTCACCAGGCTGTTGGGCAAAGTGTTCTTAGCGAGCACCTATTAAGGCTGGTAAGGCACACTGGGCGATGGGTGGCTATAACCACGTCCGGTCGCCTTCATCTCCCCAGTGCCAATGTTTACACACCTCACCAGGTACCGATTTAAGGGCTGAGTCGACCTAAGAGAAGCCCACAAACCAGTTCAAATATTCGTCATCTAACTCAGGTCACACACTGATGCACTTGCACATCAGGACACACAAAGACAATGACACAAAGAGCCAAGGTAACTCACACACTGAAACTCAGACACACAAGCGATCTGCCACTCGGTGAAGGTTCCCCACCTCGTCCTGCGAGCGCTTTAGGAACTCGAGCTCCTCCATGAGCATGCTGTACCGGGACTCCAACTCAACCTTCAGCTCGGTGGCGCCGTCCAGGTCCTGCGCGGGAGTCACAATGGGAACTTGTATTCATCCACGGAAGAATAGTCTCAGTGCAACTTGCCTCTCTTCGCAAATCACTCCGAATGCACCCGATGATCTCGTCATACCTCAAAAGCTATGCGGAGTTTGAACCCGGTAAGTACATTACTCCGACGGTAGACTGCCTTGGGAATACTAGGGGTGTTTTAGGCCTGTGGTTGCGAGCTGGCTACGTACGGTGCGAGAGAAGTTCAACATACATACAATGATATGGCATAACACCAATGGATTCTTGAATCCATCTGTGCGGGGCTGTGTGTGCGTTGTCCTATAGTACGACACGTGGTGGCGTGGTTTTGCACGGGCCGCTCCGGTTTATTCCCACAAGTCAGTGCGTCAGCCAACAGGTCTGTGCGGAGATGAAGGTGGCGTTGGTGTGCCGTAGAAGTGGTACCTTGCGCATGTGGCCGATGTCCGTCTCCAGTTGGTACTTGACGCCCACCTCAAACTCAAACCTGTGGCACCGCGGGTACATTGTCAGTCACGGCGTGAACGGCAGTGCACAATGTGGGGTGCGTCGGTGTGTGCCTTTGTTTTGATGAGTGCGTGTGTGCACGAGTGCGTGTGTGCACTGGCAGGCCACGCACTTGGCCTTAACCTCCTGCGCGAAGGCGCGCAGGTTGTCCAGCTCGATCTCCAGGCGCACGTTGTCCAGCACCATCCCGTCCATCACGCCCCTCAGCTCCACGAGCCGCGCCTGCGCATCCCCCGGCTGCTCCGTGTCCACGGGCTGCACGACCGCGCCGCCCGTCAGCGAGTGCAGCTGCGCCTCCAGCATCGCGTTCTCGTGCTGCAGTTGCTGCACCTTGTTGATGTAGGTCGCGAACCTGAGTCGCGGAGAGGCGACAAGTCGTGGGTGGTTGTGGTAGTTGGTGTGCGGTGACGGTATGAAACTAAGAGACGGCGGTGGGTGGTGATGGTTCGGTGGTCATGGTGGGTAGCCCCTGGGTAACATCTCGATAGCTGGTGCTTGATTATTGGGTGGCGAGAGTGGACGGTGGTGGTCGTGGGTGGTTGAGTGGGTAGGTGGAAGGTCGTTTTGGTCTTGGGCGAATGGTGATGGTGGGACGGGTGCATGTTTGTGATTACCAGAGAGGATATACCGATGCAAACAACTACAGTACCAGGGGGGGAATGGAGGCCTTGAGGGAAGCATTGATGCATGGGTCCACCAATAATATATATTGAAATGCAGCATTTGCAAATGTTCCGCAGACTATTTCTCTCGGCCTTGCAGGACTACTTGTGGTGCACAGACCATGCTCTAGAGGGAAGCACTGAAACACGAGTCATTCCGTGTATCGATACACATCGATGCATGTTGGCTTCTGGAGGGAAGCGCTGATGCATGGGACCTCTGGTGGGAGTTAATGATGCAATAAGAAGCCACGAGAAAGAAATAATACGTGGGTCCTCAGCCACGTTATAAAATATTTACACGAATTAACTTTGTTCAAGCTTGTTTACGTAATACACACACGCATGCACCATGTTTCTTATTGTCTGTGGCCAATGTTCACTCGCTTGAAAACAAATCAAGCCGTAATTACATGCTGGTGTTTAATGAGATGTTTTAAATGGTAGACTTTCTTTGTTCATATTTTTTTCAATCAATGTTCACTCCAATAGGCCACTACCAATTTAAGCATAATTTGAAAAATGGGCAAAAACTCAAATCCGCCCTCGTAGAGGCGGAATCGGAAGACATTTCAGCAACACATCTCCAGTCTGACTCGTGTGAGCATGCATGGTCAAATAATCCCTGTGACTAATGCGGCTTGAAGATGGCTTTGTCCAGGAGTGGTTTGGAAAAGATCTCTCAAGCATTCGTTACTTTTATTGTTCCGATGGGATAAGTAAAGCGCCTCAGGTGGACGTGCACATGGTGATCCATTAAAAGATATGCCACTGATTTGTAATGACCCTGGACCTTCTCAACAGGTGATTGCAAAATATGAAAGGGATGTCTTCATAGATTATGGGGGAAGAGGAATCAAATATGTAATAAGTGCCTTGAGATTGGTGAAATGCAATGCACCGGCTTTAAACTAAAAAAAAAAATCCATATTGTTTGTGGGGCACCTATAAATATATCACCCATCGAAAACATGAGCATCGAATTGGCAGCAACCTGCAAAATGAAATTATCCAAATGCTGCATCACCATTCATCATCCAACCTGTCTCACCTCTCGTTGAGTGTGCGGAGAGTCTGCCGCTCCGTCTCTCGGGTCATCATCGGTGGTATGGCTCTCACTCCTCCTAGGGAGCCCGCGGTGCCGCGCATCCCACCCGACACCACGGAGCGTCCCACCTGGAACGAGGCGCTGTTTCCGATGTTGCCGCCTCCAAACCCGAGCCCACCGCCGCCTCCTCCTCCTCCCAAACCGTAGCCTCCAAACCCGAGGCCACCTCCTCCTCCCAAACCGTATCCTCCAAACCCGAGGCCACCGCCACCTCCTCCCAGGGACAAGCTGCCCAACCCCAGCCCCAAGCCTCCACCACCCAGTGCTGCTCCACCTCCGTAGCCGTAGCCTCCTCCACCACCCAGGGCCGCTCCACCTCCACAGCTGAACCCTCCACCGAAGCTGCTGGAGGAGCGCGACATCCCGCCGCCACCTCCGCCGCCGCCCGAGCGCACGCCGCCCAGCCTGGAGACGGTGCTGTAGGTGGTGACGTGCGGGCCCTGGCTCAAGTTGAGACGCGACGCCGTGAATGGCGTGGACGTGGAATGCTCCACGAAGCTCGAATGTACCTTGCTGGTCGACATCGCAATCTATAAGCCCACGCTGCCAATGAGAGCTATAAAGATGATGATTACGCTAAGGTTGAGACGGATGAAGGCTTGGTACCGTGGAGAGATCGGTGCTCTCTGGCACGCAGGGTGTGCCTTTTATGCACGGCTGGATGCGCCGCGGTTAGTGGGTGGAGGAGGAGGAACGATATTTGGCACCGGATTGATGGAAATGGAGGAGGGTGGATGCCGTTTGTAGTTGACAGGCGGGCGGGGTCAGTGTTCTGTGGTGAGGACGACCCGTTTACGAGGAACGATAAGTCTGTGTCATTCCTTCCACGTCCCCCGTGGAAAAAATATACAGAACTTTCACGGCCCAGGTATGAGTGCGCGTGCGAGCATACTGGTATGCCCTACACCCTGTACCCTCAACCCTAACATCGCAGGGATTTACCCAAGCATCACTACTCTGTTGTAGCTGTTTATACAAAACTTAAATGCCAATTTCCGTAAACCCCTTAAAGGTGCGTGAGAAAAAGGCGCATGCGCACCCTTGTATGTAAAAAGTAAATCGATATATTTAAAAAATCCCACAAGAAGTGCGAAGGCCCTCATTCAGCAATGGATTAACAAACGGGCTGTACAAGTGCATACGCCAGTACACAAATCATCTGGTCTTTATTTACCCATTTGCCAATCTTTAAGTAAACTTATTCTATTTTATGGGAATATTGTATTATTCAAACAAAATGTTTTATGAAGATAAATAGTTTACACTTAATGTCAGTAAACTAACGATTGAGCAACCCCATATAATCTCATAAGCGATTAACAGAATAAATAAGCAAATGACACACCTCCTCCCTATCGGTCTCTCCACATAAAAAAAATAAGCATTTGCTTAATTATTTACATTCTGTGGGTGCTTTTTTTTCCCCAACAGAATTGATTTATGCGAACAAGCTCTGGAGTCGGTTTCAGAGGCAGGAGCAATTCCGCTCAAACTTCACAAACATCGCATCCATTTCATTTGAATAAAAACCGGATTAGATTCGAGCTATACACGCACGTGGGTGTCGTAGGACCGAAGGAAGACATTCATAGACGAGACAGTCAGAATAGCAATACATCCTCCAGTATCATGTGTCCACTGCAAAGTATACACACATATTGATAGTAGTATCACACTTGTTAATCCAGTCTCAGTTAGTTTCAGAAGTCTCCTGTTAGGGAGGAAAGTCATGCAGAACAGCGGGAGAACAAATAAACTCCATCACCATACAGAAAGGCACGCAAGAAGGGAATCGAACCCAGATAGTTATTGTTGTAAGATACAAGTGTTCCCACTGCGCCACCATTTCGCCCATAATGAACCCATTATTTAAATATTCTTGTTGCACGCAAAAACTTTACCGTAAACTTCCAATGCCTGTGTGCTACTCAACACAGGATTTGTGGAATCGGGCCCCGTGGTAAGGGTGAAATAAACCCTTCACATGTTAAGCGCAATGCAAACAGGCGCCACACAAAACCGCAAATATGCGGTTTTGGAACGCAAACGCTGTCGGTAACTGAGCGTAGCCTCCAGCGTAGTTGTGTTGCATTTATTGTGCCGGTTATGCAGCCGCACCCGGGGCCCACGGGTCTGAGGGACCCAGACGCCGGCTTACAGAGAGCCGTGGGGGTGGGATAATTGAACAGGGGGGCACAACTCAGGGCCCATGCCAACCACGCACAGACGCCACTGCTGTAGTGATATACGAATGAGAAACGCATGCGGATAGGTCAGCAACCTCATTTATGTACTGCCAAAAACTGACCATCTGATAGCCCTTAAGGTTGGGAGTCTCGCAGCACGTGATGTTTTGCTCGATCCACCAAGCATGCATTGAAAGCGTATGGCATATGGCAAGTTACATAGTGCCATATTATAGCAACACCTTATATCCAGGAAAGCCTCACATCACTTTGAAACTTACATTACTAGTACAGCCCACATCCAATTAAGTATATCCAGTATAAATCTAAGGGCCCATCCCAACTCTACAGAAACATGACTGCATCTCAGCATGACATCTCGGGGACATTCCGCATGAACCTGCGATGTGCTTCATTCATTGTACTTGCTTACACTCCGGTGCAATTCTTACATCGAGGGTAGGGTGCAGTACGAGGTCTAAGTGGGGAAAAAATATTTTTTTGTCCTGGTACTAACGGAAGTGATGTGATAAGTTCGAGGTGCAGATTGACACCCTCCACTAGAGGCACCTGCTGCTTGGGTTTGCAGTTCAACAAAGCAACCACGTCTGAGCACAAGGACGAAAAAGCCTTTTAGCTCACGTAGGCCTCTTACCCAAGTCTACTATAAATAGTGTTTGATTTATTATAGACATACTGTGCGAGTTATATTTTTTTATGTTGACATCTGTGTCATTCCGTATTTGCGACGAATGTGTCACTTGACACCCTGGACACCCTTGCAAACGAGATGTTACGTCAAATAGGATTTTTCCAGGAAACAAAATGCAATTAGTTACTATTAACTCGACATCGCTGCATCTGAAACATCGCAGTGAAACTCACATCACTGTTCTACAGTTCACACCGGCCACATAAACTGTCACACCACTCCCAAAACCCACTCTCCGGCTCAGCCCAGCCTTGCGTCTCATTCTTTGAACTTGTCCGGGCAGCATTTCTTTCTGTTTTTTTAATAAATGCAGCCGCTACTCCACCTAAGCACACAAACTGTCAGAATGCGACATAACTCTGCCTTCTTCATGGCATCGTCCGATGAAACTGTCAAACTACCCGGCCAACGCCCCCTCAATGAGCCAGAAACAGTTAAGCACAAATTGTCGTGTTCCTCTAATAATAATTATCTTATAATAAGATGCATTTTGCTCCCTGTATTTTAAAGCAAAAGTCAGCATTGCGTCTTGTAGTCCGGTTGGTGTGTGTGTGTCTTTGCGACCAGAGTTGTATAACTTGATTAACACAACACGAGTTTGGGGTGCGTCTTACTTCCTGGAGCCCATTGTAAGATGTAATATTTGTTTATAATGACATGATTTTTTTTTACATTTAAGAGATTCTTGAAGTGGCCTAGTGGCTCGGCAATCAGAGAAAAAAGTGCTGAGTTGGTCCCCCAGAGATCCTAAGTTCAAATTTGGACATAAAGAATAGTTGATGGTCTTAGCTCGGTCACAAATACCTGTACAAAAATACTATTCAATGTTATATTGCACTTAATTTGGTTAAATTAAGTTCAATTAAATTAAGTTCTGAGAATTGCAATCAGTTGATTGACATGCGATGAACATGTTTCCCTTTAGCGCTTCCTGCTTGCGTGAATAAGAGATATATTTAAGATAACACAGAAGCAAGCTCTGTGAAATCGCTTTTGCAGATAGTTCTCTAACACGGAGTCCCGCACTGCTCTGAGATTTCCTAATGGATTCTTCCATCTCATCACGTGACGCCGATGGCACAATTGAGATAGACATTGTGGAAATACATTTATTTTACACCAAACGCTTTCTTAAATGCAAGGTTTGGGGTGATCACAAATTAATCATCATGCTATTGCTATAGACGTGGAATTGGCAAGCAAGCGGTGGGAGACACGTGAGTTTTCTAAGCCACATTAGTGAACCTGATTAATTTAAAACCATCGATACTGAGCACATGCCCAAAACGCCAAAACCGCCAGAAACAAACAACACTCTTTCATGTGTAACGATTAGATAATGTGCTTCTTGCAATGTGCAAGATTATAAGAAATTGTAAGAAAAATTGACAAGTGCGAAGAAAAAAGTGGCCAGAGCAGCCACAGCTGCATTTTTATTGGTGAGACAAAACGGTCAGTTTATTCCACCGATGTCTCCACTACAGTGGATGTCTACTACCTCGCCTGGTATGCAGAAGGTCGTGGGTTTGATCCCGATCCTTTGTTTCGGGGTTTTTTTGTCCTCCCCCCCCCGCACCTCCGATTAGCACGGTTGCCTCCGCACGGTGCGAAAGAAGTTACACATACAGACCCTGATGCCTGGCGTGGATTTTTCTCTGGGTTCTCCCGTTTTTCCCTCCACATTTAGAAACGTGCGTTTAGAGTATTTGACTGCTATACATTTCCACATGATAAGCCACTTCGTTGGGCTATATCATGCGTGGCCAGGTCGCTTCTGAAAAATATCTGTATAATTCAGTGAGCCGTACCTGGTGAAATAACCAAATAAAAAAAAATCCGTATTAGTGAAGTTCACGGGGAACAGAAACCATAGTGGCGATAAATGAGCGATGAGGAGACGACTGACTCTCGGTGAGCCAGCGAGTGTGAAGTGAACCTGTGAGCGCGTGAACATGGGGCGTTCACTGCGGCGCCAGGTCGACATGGCTCATGGCCAGGCACGCCCTGCATGCAGTCGCACTGACAGACACTCGCTAACACTCTACCCCTGCATTCACGTAAGCCACACCATAGCCGGCAGGCAGACGCTACTCACTGTGAGACGGGGAGTGGGGGGATCATGAGTTACTCTTTGCTTTTTTTCGGTGAAGTCACGTAGGTAAAATAAAATACATGAAAACAATTAAATTAAATCACGACGTTTCGGAGGCAACGCAAGCTTCCGTCTTCGGGTGGAACAGTCACTTGATACAGCTATTTTGCTGTGACTGTTCCACCTGAAGACGGAAGCTTGTGTTGCCTCCGAAACGTCGTGTTTAATTTAGTTGTTTTCATTTATTTTATTTTACCTACGTGACTTTACCGAAAAAAACAAAGAGTATGAATCCTTGCAGTCACGAAAGCTTCAAATCTAAGATCTTGAGTTGTTTTACGCACGGTCGAAGGTAAAGATAGAGCGCGCAACGCAATGCAATCCCATCACACAGCTGCATTGATATTATCCGTGCATGTTTGCGTGCATACGTGCAGATATGTATATACATAGTTACCAACATACGTGCTTACATCCATGACGACATACGAGACCTGGATAGCTAGTTATATACGGATACATCCACACACATGCACAGACACATACGCATATATGCATACAAACTTGGTTACAAACATACATGTATAGATATTTAGATGCATAATCGATTTTCTTTGGTGTTTAATTTGTTGTCCTTCCCCCGCACTTCCAATTAGCACGGTTGGCTACATACGGTGCGAAAGAAGTTCAA